GGGGCAGGGCAGGGACAAGGATGGAGAGAAGCAGGGTGTGGGCTGAGGGTGAGGGCAAGGGCAGCCTGACCCAGCATGGACAGTGACTTACAGAAGCGGCCTCCCTGGAGCTCCCTGCCCAGCTCACAGGCCTCCAACCCCTAATGCAACCTTGAAGAGAGGCTTCGGAAATTTCGTAAGTTTTCACTCCCTCTGCAGCCTTCATAATATTCGAGACCAGAGGCCCAGAAGAGAAGCTATCAATGGCGAGAATTATTTTTGGGAAAAGAATCTAAGTACACAGAGCTCTTTGTCCGTCTACTTCATTCCTCTGGGATAAAATCCTATCTACACAGCTTCAGTTCTGTTCTCATGCCTAGCTCCTTTCTTGCCTGATTTCTCTCTACCTTTATCTGCAGTCCCCTCTAAGTTCTATCTTAATTCTACCTCATCTAGGTTCTTCTCATCTCGTTCTTTCCCATCTAGTACTTTCCCATCTGGCTCCTCCTCATCTTCCATCTCAATCTTCTAGTTCAAAATCTAGTTTGTTCTCCAGTCAAAATCCTCAAAAATCCTAAATCTCTGAGGTTTACGGGTATACACCCATGCAACAGCAGTGCTCTAACTAAAGCCAGGTCACCAGGCTTGAATTCTGACAGGGTCATAAAGGCAGGTAAGAATTTTCCTCAGGCCGTGACTGTCAGGCTTTCTTTTACAACCTAAAAAGGGAGTGGTAAGAAAGGAGGTCAACTGAGAGCTAATGATCGGTTAGTATATCAAAAAGGGAGTCTATGTGCTCAGTCCACATTCCTAGAAGTGGTTAGGTAAGAAGTTAGGAGTCTATAATGTTAGTAAGGCTGTATAAGAAAGGAGGGTCTCAGCTTAAATTGCACAAGAAATAAAGCTATCTGACCTAGGAGACAGGTGTTGTTTCCACAAGGGTGTTACCTTAATTCAGAAGATCGTTTGGCCTTGGATACTTGATAGGTATTTTAGATAAATACACTGTTAGGAGTTCTTGGAAGTACATAGCATACAAGAAAACCATTATAGAAACCAGCTAATGTATATATTCTATATATTATATACATACAATACAAAAGCTAAAATATCATCACCAAGACTTCTTAAGCCATGGCTTGACTTTGGAAAAGTCCTTGACTTTTCCAAGTAGTAGCTTTTGTGATAGTAACTGGATTCCATTACATTTTCCACAGCTTGCTCCACTCTGGGTCTTGTAAGTTTTGTGGACTTTTGTTTTCTTAGTCTTATAAATCTCCCTCCACACTGCAAAAGGAAATGTTTCAGTTTGGAGGAAACTCTACACTCCACTCCACCCCTTCCTCCTGTCCTTACATATTTTCTTTCCTCTTCAGCAATGCTCCCTGGGCCCTGGAGGGAAGAGGGTAAGATAAGGGTCTGATTCTTTTCTTCCATTTGTAGCTGAGCATTGGGTTACTCCACCACAGCAACATTCGTTTATCCTCAGCAACTTGACCAGTCACAGGTCTCCACAGGACCCACTGTCCTCTAAAAAAAGAAATTGCTCCCTGTGCAGAGGCTGACGGCAGTATTCCATGGGCACAAACATAAATGTTTGGAAGACAGTTTAACAAGAATCCCAGATAAATACCAACAATGGACCAAAGCAAACTTCCCCCCCCAGGCCCAGTTTTGTGAATCAATGAGTTTATTGGAGTCACTTACAGGATCACAGATAACTGGAAGGGAAATCTACCCATGTTGGGCCCACTGAACTCCTCCTCCATCTTTTAGTGATAGAAAAATCACAGTCCTAGAACGTAAACCCAGAAGGAGGAATCTGCAGGATATCTGGACCCAGAATCCAGGAAGAAAATTCTCATCCCACTAACTCAGATGTCCAGTGATCTTACGTGGTTGATATCAGCCAAGGACACAGTAAGAAGAACTGGTAGTGGAGAGAAATCACTCAGTTGGTTAAAATGCTTTACCTTACAAGCAAGACGACCTGGTTTGATCCCTGAACCCACGTGAAAATAATGGACATGGTGGTATGTGCCTGTAATCCCAGTGCTAGGAAGGTGGAGACAGGAGAATCCATGGGGTTTGCTGTCCAGCCAGTCTAGCTTAATTGGTATGCTTTAGGCTAATTAATGAAAGACTGTCCCAAAAGAGGTGGAACCAGCTGTGGTGGTGCATGTCTTTAATCCTAGCACTTGAAAGGTAAAAACAAGCAGGTCTCTGTAAGCTCAAGACCAGCCTGGTCTACACAGTGAGTTCTAGGCCAGTCAGAACTGTATGAAGGAAGAGACCTTGTCTCAAAGTTATACACAAATCAAAGGGGGTGGTTTTCCCTAAGATGACAGCTGAGGTTGTCCTCTGGCCTCCAAATGCTTCCATACATCCACATGTAAAGAAATAAAAAATAAATTTGAAAAAAAAAGAGCTAGTAATGAATTTCCTTCCTAAAATAAAAGTTGACTGTGGGGGAAGAATGTGGACATCAGGGAGGAGCAAGAGCAGGCACCAGGGAGGAGGGAGAGCAGGCACCAGGGAGGAGGGAGAGCAGGCACCAGGGAGGAGGGAGAGCAGGCATCAGGGGGGAGGAGAGTGAACATCAGGGAGGAGGAGAGTGGACATCAGGGAGGAGGGAGAGCAGGCATCAGGGAGGAGGAGAGTGAACATCAGGGAGGAGGGAGAGCAGGCATCAGGGAGGAGGGAGAACAGGCACCAGGGAGGAGGGAGAGCAGGCACCAGAAGGAAAATAAACCAAGACACTGGGGAAAGAATGATGTCATTGTTTACTGGCAGATGGGGCACTTTGTGTCCATTGCTCTAGGATGCCAGGCCTGTACCCCATGACTGGAGGGAGCTTGGATTAAAGCAATGGCCTGAAGTGGACGACATTTAGTGTCCTATTCTAGGAGACTGTTATAATGACCTCTGATGGGAATCATGAACCTGTCTTACAGGACTATCCATGGAGGTTTGAATGAGGTCTGTCCCCTCTGAAACCATGTTAGGGTCTAACCCCCAGCACGGGCTATTAATACAGCAAGGCGGAGCCTCTGCAGAATTAGAATTGGATCAAATCATCAGAATAGAAACCATGTGACTGAATCCTGGTGGCTTTATAAGAAGAGAGAGGGGAGCCTGGGGAGGTGGCTAAGAATTCAGGTAGACCAGCTAATGGTGCTGGAGAGATGGCTCGGTGGATAAGAGCACTGGTTGCTCTTCCGGAGGACCAGTGTGCAATACCTAGCACCCACATCGTGCCTCACAACTGTCGCTAACTCCAATCCCAGGAGGATCTGATGCCCCCTTCTGGCCTCTAGGAGTACTGCATGAATGTGGTGCACAGATACACCTGCAGGCAAAACACCCCCACACATAAATACAAATAAAGGGCATGGGTGGGGACAGCAAGTGTAGCAGCATGAATTTGGGGAGGTGGAGACAGCTGGATCCCTGGGGCTTACTGGACAGCTAGGCTAGCTGAATTGAGGAACTCCAGGCAAAAAGCGATGGACCCTGTTTTAACAACAAAGTCGAAAGCAACTGAGGAAGACATTTATGGTTGGCCTCTGGTACACACACACACACACACA